AGAAATTAACCAAATTAGGCAACACTATTTTTTATAACTTGAAAACTAATTGAGATATTTTGAAACTGGTTTCATATTTGAATTGAGGAAGAAGGAACACATATGCACAGTGATTTTCATTAGTATAGCTGCAAAAATAAAATAGTCCATTTTAGAACCAGTGTCTCGCCTTAAATATGTTTTTTTATTTATAGAGATACCTTGCTGAAAGTTGGCATGCATATGTATCACTGGATGGTGATTTCAAATCTGCAGTTGAATTTCAGATATCTCTTTTAGAACAAAAGATATTCAAAATATAAAATTCCAAAAAGGTAATTTTTTACGGGTCGTTATGGTAATTTCACATCAAAAAATTTATATTTTAACAATATGCAGTGATTTCCAAGGGTTCACCATATATCCTAAAGCTAATTGAATGTTTATAAAGCCATTTTGTCTACCAGAAATAAATCATGGAATTTCAAAGCAAAAACTTGTCACTAGATAATCCACGTTTCAGCTAATTACTTTTGATCTATTGACTCTAGACGAAAAAGGAAAGCTTTAGGATACACCTCAGTTGTTACTGAAAACAATGATACCAAGCTTACTGAAATCCGCCCATGCAAACATTATGAAAACTTCCGTAAGGCAACGGCTCTAGACAAAAAAAGACAGAAGTTTCACCGATGTTGGGACTTTTATATATCAAGTCTAGAGAAAAAAGAAAAGCTTCAGGGTGCAGTTCAGTTGTTGCTGAAAACAACAACACCAAATTTATTGCAATCGGCTTATGGAAACATAATCAAAACCTCCGTAGAAAAATGGCACCTGACAAAGAAAAAAAAAAAAAACATGAAACCACGAAATCAGTTCAGTAGTATCCGATGTGCGCACACGGTCATAGCAGTCCTGGGCTGTAGTCCTGGGTCCTGGCAGGCTTGTCTCTTGGCCATCCTCTTCTTCACCTTTTCACTCTCAGAGTGAGCCTTGTTGGCCTTGCGAAGCCTCCGCCTGTCCTTCTCAAGGCTCCTGCGAATCAGGCAGCTACCTGTGCTGTAGCCAAGCTGTGCTGCTACAGCCTTGCTCGTCTTGGCCATTCCCTGGTTGAAGCGTGACACGGCTTCAGCGACAGCCCTCTCCACTGACAGCAGAGAGTCATGTGTGTTCTTAGAGCTCTGGCCCCAGATCACAGAGTGTAGGCACTCTATGGCGTTCTGTGTCATGCCATCACTGCAGCGCTTCAGGAGTGCCCGGTCGCCCAGCCTCTCAAAGACTGGCTCCAGCGCAGTGCGAACAAAGCCTGGCAGTGGGTTCTTGTGTGGTGGTGGCTCCTCATGGTTGGCCAGTGCCCGGTTGTAGGAGCACCAGGAACTGTCCCCCTCGGGACAGTGGCTGTGGTCCGGGGCTTCATCTGTCGACGTCATGTGCAACAAAGTTGCTTGCACTGCCCTTTCCATCCCTGGCACATCATGCTTGTGGCTTCTCAAGGCGTACCCATAGTAGTTTGTTATTTTTTTTATCTTGTCCTGGGTCAGTTTTCCCTTTCCTCCGAGCGACTCTCCCTGTGCCTTCTTCTTCTCCACCAGGGTACGAAGAGCTGCTACCATCCGCTTGTGTACATGGTTCAGGCAGTCTTTTTTTCTCAATGTCGAGGTATCCATAGACGCTGTCTTGTGTCAGGGCATGGAAGGTGCGGCTGTCACCATCGGAAAAGATGGTGGTGTAGCGCAGTCCATTCTTCGCCAGGGACCGCCTGAACAGAATGAGGGCTGCCTCGGTTTCCATACGTCCTGCATTGCAGTCAATGTTCTTCATGCACTTGTGGTTGATCACCCAGTCCCCATAGCTGTCGTCATCTGGGTCAGGTGCACCCTGGCAGCCACGGCAGTACCTTGAGAGGACAACGTGGTCCAGCACCAGGCCAGTGTACAGCTCGAGGATGCACCCCACTGCGATGTTGGAGTTGTGTCCGCGCGTCTTCCATGTGCCGTCAAAAATTATATCTACGTTTCCGGGAGGATTGAGGAAGCTCTCGTAGACGCCCTTCACCACCTCAACACTCGCTGCTTCTGTGGCTGTTGCTGCTGCCTGGCAAGCCTGCACCATGGTGTCCATGTGTCCCCTGAACGTCTTATGTTGAAGCCCTCGGTGGGAGAGGTTCAAGGTTGCACAGAAGTCTGCAAGCGCAGTCGCCCCCTTTCCTATGCTCTGTATTCCCTTCATCGCCCTCAAGTCGATCTCGAAGGGCGTAATCTTGGCTTCCCCGCCGACTCGTGGAGAAGAAAATCGACTCTCAGCGAAATCGCAGCTCGAACACATAAGGACCAACTTCACTGCCAGGCCGTATTGCCTCTCTTCGCGCTTCGAAAGTCCTACGGTAGCCATTCCGCACTTGCCGCATGCCGTGGACGCAAAGAGTTCTTGTAGCACTGTCATGTCCAGGATGACGTACTCCGTGTCGCGGTAGGTGTCGTCACTCTCCATGCAGACGTCGAGGAGCTCAAACTTCCGTGAAGTCGCCGACTGATCTGCCAACGAAGCCTTTCTGTCGTCCACACGTTGTTCGCGCTCCACGCACTCCTCCTCCGTGTAGAACACAGTGTCGATTCGATCCCTAGACGAACTTGGTCCAGCCACGTCCACGAGCGGAAAAGCGGCTTGAGGCATCGGTGAAGCTGTCGAGCACAAACCCGGTCCAGTCGCGTCCACCAACGGTAGAGCGGCTTGCGGCATGGCTTGCGGCATCGGCGAAGTCGAAGGTGTCGTTTTCCTCGATGTCGAGGTCTTCTTGTTCCAGGCACGTCTCCTCTTTGTGTTTAGTCTTTGCGTGCTGGCCTTCAAACGGGCGTCTCCAGCCATCAGAACTCGAAGCGAACTCGAAGCGCGCAGGCAGAACGAAACAAAGAACTACGACGCAGGAGGGCAAATATATACAAAAACGGAAAGCTAAGCAAAGTGGAGGTATCAAAATATTTACATGAACGATGCGAAGAAGACAGGGAACATACAAAGACACTAGGAAGCACAAGAAAAGCACTGAAAATATTGATATAGAAAGTGGAGAAATGCGAAGGCAGCGTGCGTCTCGAAGGGCGGAGCGAGCGAAAGCAGACGACGCGGGAGCTTGCGGAGCGACCGGGATGACGCGCCGGGGAAGCCAGGAGAGGAGGCGTGCGTTTCGGCCAATGAGAGAGCTGCGCCTTGGAGAAGCGCGCGCTTTGCCCAATCAGCGTCTTTCCTAGCGCTGGTGACGGCCTTTTGTGCGGCGTCGATGACGTCGTGGCCTTGAGGGGTACACCGCCTTGGAGCGCGGGAAAAATAAGCGCGGGAAACCAGCTTTCGAACAAGACCAAGATGGCTCCGATCGGATGAGCCGTTGCGGAGCTCCGACGGCTTGAAGTTTTAGAGTTTAGGCTTGAAGTCAGGTCTGTCAACGCTTACAAATTGTCATTAGTTTCATATTTAGAGATCGAATTGAGCATTTATATTTTGTGAGGAGATACTCTGGAATATGTAGACCTCAAAATCGTGAACTTTGAAAAAAGAATTTTTCGTGATTTTTTTATATTTTAAGACCCGCGTCCCACCTTAATGTATCTCCTGTACTGCCACATAGATATATACAAGAAGATGGGTGTATTTTAACTTTCTCTCCAAGTTGTGCTTATCCACCAAGACATGGCCCACCCCACTCTTTTATGAAGTTCAGGTGGCAGGGGGGTTGGCAATGACTGGACAATACGGTCAGTGCATATGTAAGACAATGTGGCTTGTGCATAGGGTTCTAAGAGCATGGTTCTGCGAAAGGCAATATGCTTGAGAGCATTAACGCAGCAAAAATTATGCTCCATCACATATATTGTCACAGGTGTGAGAGCATGGTCCTGCAAAAGGCACTGTGTACACAGGCACTAGTGCAGCAAAGGCATCCATAAGCTTACACTTCTATAATTGCGAGCACTCGTGACGATATGAGAGATGTGGTGTAGCTTTGGGGTGTATTTCCCCTCTTGGGCCGCAGCTTGATGTTTCACTTCTTGTCCCGCAAGGTTCAAGGGGCACTGACACCCCAAAGGTCATATTTTTTCGAAAAATGAAAAAGGCGCGCAAAGCCTTTTAAAACCCTTTTAAAAGGTGCGCAAAAAAATATATATATATTTTTGCGCGCCTTTTTATTTTTGGCGCCCTTTTCTCCTGCTTCTCACGTCCTCGCTTCTTTTGATTTGTGACGTCAAAAATCATGAAATTTAGAAGCTGCGTAGATGACATTTCTATAACATTTAATAACGCCAATCGTAAAACATGTTTTTTAACACAATTGCGAACGCATTACGACCCTTATTTTTGAAAAATCAAAAATCGGAGTCCGGTGTGATCTTGGATTTGTATCATCCTGGATTTGTATCCTCCCTTGGAAAGCTTGCCGGTGCTCGATGCACATAGCAGAGGATGGTCAGGGAGTCGGGGAATGGGACGAAAAAAATGTTTTTTCCCGGTCCACCGGTGCTTCTCTTTCGCTCCTCACCTCCTCGCTTCGGGTCGCGGTGGTTTGGAGGCGCGAAAGAAAGTTGACTCTCAGGACTCCGCTATATTTGACATCACGGCACTGGCGCGGATCGTGGGGGAACTTCAAAATTAGCATTTGGAAATTGTTTTTTTTTTTGCTTCACAAATATTGAATTACATAGTTTCAAATTTTAAGGGTAATGTCCCGGCATCGTTTTAAGTCGTTTCGGATAATAAAAAAAAATTATTTTTATGTGTCAGTGCCTTTTTAATTCCAGCAGAGTTCCAGTCACACAAGCAGTGCTTGGCGGAGGCCCAAACTGTAAATACATTTGTCCGCTTACAGCAAACTTTCAATGTTCCACTTCCTGCCTAAACAGGTAGCAAACTCGCGAGACGACGTCTGGGCGGCACAGTAGAAACCCAAAAACAATAGTCTGGGTCGTCTGCTTTCTTTTTTTTTTTTTTTTTTTTACGATGGCCTTGTCAAGCCTTTTTTTGCCCCGCAGGCGTTTGCCAAGGCGTACAACACTACCCCGGACGACCTGGACATGCACGTCATCTACGACGTGTCGCACAACATCGCCAAGGTGGAGCAGCATGTGGTGGACGGGAAGATGCGCACCCTGCTGGTGCACCGCAAGGGCTCCACCAGGGCCTTCCCGCCACACCACCCGCTCATCCCCGTGGACTACCAGGTGAGACACCTCCCGCTTCAAGCCATCTCGGTGAAGCACGCACTTTGTGTTTCTTTCAAGTACCGGCAACCATTGTCTCAAGGACGCGCGAGGAAAAGACGTGTGCCACGAGCGAGTGCTTTACTGCCATTCATTTCCAAGGGCTGCTCGTTTCAGTGATGCGCTGCCGTTTGCTTCCCAAGGCCATACGAGGCAAACTCCGGTCGTTGGCGCTTTTATTGCTACGTACGAGACAAATGCCTTTACGCCCGTTTCCTTCACAGCATCACGAAAGCGAGAGCGGTTTCGTGATTGAAGCCCACAGAGCCGAGTGTCATTTGTTGATCAACAGCAGAGTTTCATCTTGCCCCAACACTTCCTAAGTGAAAAGGTCATAATGCTCGATCTTATGTCACCTACCCTCAACAATTTGCAGTAGCTGCGACAGCACAGAAGCAAACTGTTATTAAACAAAAGAAAAGCTTAAAATATGAAGGCATTCCCTCGTCCATCTTCCAAATGTCTCGTATGCAGAATGCAAAAGCAATACATACACACATTTGCGCTGTATCGTGTGACTTCATGCTGTCGAGAGACATTAAGGGCCGACCTACAGAATATCTTCTGCCGCGCAGAAAATCCTTGCATGCCCTCCATTCTCCCGCATGCTCTACACGGATTTGGTGCTGAATTTCCGGCGTTGCCAAAGAAGTTTGATGAAAGGCAAAGATAAAGTACTAGCACTGGCGTCAGCATTGGGGCTTGCGTCCTCATTGATTGGACACTAATCTCAACCAAACGTCGAATTCACTGCTAAACTAACGACGTAAAAGCTTAGAAAGATTGAAGTTGAGTGAATTTGGTATTTGGCGTCATGCCTGACCATATTCTGTCTTTTTTTCCAGCTGACCGGCCAGCCCGTGCTGATAGGCGGTACGATGGGCACGTGCAGCTATGTGCTGACGGGCACAGAGCAGGGCATGAACGAGACGTTCGGCACGACATGCCACGGGGCCGGGCGGGCGCTCTCGCGGGCCAAGTCTAGGCGCAACCTCAACTACCAGGATGTGCTGGACAAGATGAACGAGATGGGCATTTCAATCCGGGTCGCCTCTCCCAAGTTGGTAATGGAGGAGGCTCCAGAGTCATACAAAAATGTGACTGACGTGGTGGACACGTGCCACGAGGCCGGCATCAGCCGCAAGTGCATCAAGCTCAGGCCTATCGCAGTCATTAAGGGGTGAAGATGAGCATTGAGTTGCCCATTACGGTCATCAAGGGCTGAAGATGTGCGTTGAGTTGTGCATCGGGGTGATCGAAGGCTGAAGATGTCCTTGAGTTGCTGCTCATCACGGTCATCAAGGGTTGAAGATCTGCATCAGATTACTCATCGGGGTCATCGAGTGCTGAAGATGTGCATCGAGCTGCCCATTGCAATCATCAAGGACTGAAGATGTGCACTGAGTTGTCCATCACAGTCATAAGTGCTGAACAAGAACAGCTTTGTCTCGGGCTGGACATGGACTCGAGGGCTGAAAATTGGTGGCGTTGTCTCGGGCCGAGATTAAACGAGGGGTGTCTTCCCGGGTTTGACCTGGACAATGGCTGTTTTCTTGGGAATTAAAAACAGCGCGAAAAGACGAGGTCCAGACAAAGACATATCTTGGGTTGTGCGAGTTTTGTCTGAAGCTAGGCATGGATGACAGTTGTCTTCGGTTAGATCTAAAGGCCCGTTCACACGATACATTTTTCTCGCGCATCTAGTGTCGCGAAATGTAGTTTCGCGAAATGGTTGCGCCGTCTGAACGAGTCTGAAAAGGATGCGCGCATCTAAAAAAAGTTGCGCGCACACCTCGCTTCTGGAGCGAGCTTTTGCTGAAACTTTGCCGAGTCCTGTCAATCACTCTGAGGGCGCCGCCAATGGCCGCTCAGAAATGCTCTCACGTGGCCTTTGAGGGGGGAGTGAGCTGTTTGAGAAGACCACTTCACTGCCGGTGTTGTAGCGGAGCCAAATTCGAAAAAAAACGAAACCACGAACGATGGATACTGCCGGCGCTTCCGCAAGCACGTCAAGCACCACTGAAGGAAAAGTGAGTAGCATATCGGAAAAAAAAAATCCAGCGATGGACGAAGACAATTAGCGGGAGTTGGCAAGATTAGAATAGTGCTCATAGCATTGTTGTCGCGACGATACCACTGGATAAGAGACCATCGAGTAAACTGGAACCAAGTTTTCAATTTGTTTACAAGCAAACATGAAACCATGTGCGCTCTCTGAAACAGCTGGCACAGTAAACTCGGGGCAGACATGGGCGCCAAAAAGTAACCTGATTGGGCACGTAGCGTTTCTATGAATACCATGTGCATTGATAGTAGCTTTGGCAATGAATTGGCTACGTACGGGCTTGGCGTTGGCACATGTCCTGCACGTACAGGTTGCCGCCTCAATCGGCTTGGCGCACACGCGAGATCGCTCCAAGTAGTGCAGTATGTGAGAAAAAAAAAATTAAAGTGAATTGACTGCATAAAATGCGCAAAGCAGGTCCCCAGATAAATATCGATCTGATTCGGAGCTCACTCGAAACAGTGCATCGGTGTGTGTTGTTGCACGTGAAGCGGTACGTGTGAACGAGCACATTTTGCGAAACTTGAGTCTCGAAACTTGCGCGCCTAAAAGATGCATCGTGTGAACAGACCTTAAGCATCTTTTGGGTGTGTTCCTGAGGCCTGGTTCGCACTTACAGCTAATCCGCTGCCGCCGAAGCGGAATCGGCCGCGGCAATGCATAGTGGACGCTACGCCCGGCGGCCGAATTCTTGGAAATTCGCCCGCCGATTCGCAAGTGTGGACAAGGTTTGAGGCTTGGGGTCTCCTGGTGAAGACACATAATTATCTTGAAGGAGTTTTAGGGAGCCTTAACTAGTGGTGGGAATAACTTGGTGAAAGGGAACGTGGATGAGGACAAAAAATCCAAAAATGTTCCGCATGTACTATCACAATCAGTATAACTGAACACCACTCACGCGGTACTCAATGCCCCATGTCGATTGTGCTGTGAACTATAAGGGCTCTGCAGAGGAGACACTGTCTTTAGCAATCGTTGCACCACTCTGCACTTCCGGATCGTCTTTTAGCGAAGAACGGTTGGTGGGAGTGCGGAACTGTTGACCACTAACCAAGAGCATTTTTCACTAGGAATGTGCATTAGCAAAAATAGCTTTATATACTGTAAACGACTTCATTTTTGCAAGGACCTAATTGTCGCGCATTGCCTACTATTCGCAAAAAATAGGTCCCGCGAACAATTGCGGTATAGTTTGACCCTTTCCCTACCATGGACGACCTAAGTTCGTCCACGCTGTTTGTACCACTACCCCCGAAGTCGAGCTGGGCTCGCCCACGTGGATTCGGGCTCCAATACGCTACCATGGACGAACTGGGCTAGTCCACATGTTTCTAGTGAGCTTTGCCGTGGACAGATGGCACTTCATGGTAAATAAGAACCTGGTAAATTTCTGAGTTTGGCAGAAAATTGTTCCAACGCAGGCAACTGGATTTAAAAATGGCGACGTCAACTTCTGGTCACCGAGTTCATAGTAACGATCTTGCCTCGAAATTGGATCGAAAACGAAGATATTGTGACATCTCTTCAGATTCAGAAGATGAAATTAATCTTTCATCAAACAGCGAGAGCAATGCAACTGAGTTATTGGATTTAAGCTCAGACGACTCCGATTCCGCTCCAGCCCCTCCACGTTTAGCGTTCACTTTGAGTGCGATGTGATGTGAACTGTCTGCAGTACTGCTACGCCCGGCCTGAACGTCCATGTGCGAGGTGATGTGAACTGTCTGTGGTAATGCAGTGAAGTGGAACTTTAGTCCCTTTTCCTTTTGCAGTGTGTTCAAAGATTTCTCATAAATATTTTGGCATTTGTTCTTGCCCTTTGTATTGCATATTAAATTTATAGGGCACATAAAAAAATTTGGTCCCCCACCGCGTCGCGAAAATCCAGAACTTCAGGTTTGACCTAAATACAGAAATATTGAGATCGCGAAAAATAAGTTGTTTACGGTATATATTTTTCCGACTTTTATGTAACTTAAATCCCTTACTCAAGTCACTATCTTAAAGGGACACTGACACCCCCCAAAATTGTTTTTTTAATTTTTTGCGAGGCGCTTCATTATGGTGTCGGAGAACTACCCAATTAATATTTTGCAACAGAGTAGCGTATTTTTTTAATAAAACCAAAAGACGCAACTGCTCGAAATCGAAACCGAAACCCGACGGAGGTCGGAGAAGTGGAGAGAAGAGAGTGAGTGGCGGAAGTCACGTGGCTACACCCGAACGTCTGTTTTTTTTCTCCTTCCCGGTAGCAGACGACATGCGGCGTATGGGAACTGCTCGCCGTGGGATTCTTTTGCAGCTATGTCTGTTCCGCTCGTTGTTCTGTACTCCAAGATGAGTTGTTTTGTACATTGAGGAGTTGGAGATGAGTAGTGAGTGCCCGTGGTGAATTTTGATCGGCTCCGAAAAGAATACACCCAAGATGTTGCGTGAAGAGCTGGCTCACATGTCCCGCGTCCGAAACAGAAGTGGCATTGTGCGACAGAGTTTCCGAAAGATCAACGGGATCGGGACCAATGGCTGGCTACAATTCCTGTAGACCATTTACGGGCACCTCGGAAAGCGGACGCTACCTGATTTATATGCTCCTTGCATTTTGTGGAAAGTGAATACATAGAGTTTGCAGGTGTCAAAAAGGATATCCCATACCATCTAATTCAGCGACGTGTTGTCCACAACATTTGTTTCTTATGTTTTTTTTTTGTTTCTTCAGTAATAATTGTAAAAAAAAAAAAAAGAAATGTAGACATCAGAAAATATTTAGAGAAAAACAAAAAAAGATTCACGGGGGATGGAACATGGCTCTACCGGGTGTGAAGGGGACGTCTTTCCCACTGAGCTACTGGGGCATATCGAAAGTGGAGTATCTTTTTCCTTAGTAATAATTCAGCCGATAAACTGTAAGTTGGAAAGTTTGCTGCCGATTTTCCTCTAGCAAAAGCACTCCCGGGTCGAAGTCGGGATGCACCACGCATTGGCGACATTCTCACCTAGTAAAGAAATCGTACGCGTGCATATTCCACTCGAAGCAGACACTCGCGCTTGACGTTTGCGCGAGCGATGTCTTCAGCCACAAGAAGGGAGCGACGGCTCGGCGACGTCTTCGTGCAAATCGGCATGGTGGTCGGGCGTGTCGTACGGGATGAATACCAATTCTTTTGACCAGTCCCAAATTTCTCTTTTAAAGGCAGACAAAATTCGCCGGTACCGCGAACGACAGTTCTGAAATAGAGGTCCCACGCCCGTCGTCCGCTGCCATCGCCGTCCCTGCGAGTCCCACGATACGCGAAACGACGCACGCACAGAATGCTTCCGGTTGTCTGTGGAACTTTTTTTTCAATCAACGTATTTGCAGCTTTTTAGAAGCCACAAAAAATGGGGTTTATATTTTTTTCTATTTCTAATATTGAGTGTGTGCTTTCAGTGACCCACGACTTTGATTAAATTTGGTGGTCGCATCGATACCTTAGAAAACGGCCCGTGACCGCAGAAAAGAGAGTGAGCGAGACTCGAACCGGCCAGTTCTTAATCGGCGGTTTTCGGACGGAAAGAAACCGAATTTCGAGCCGCAAATTCTGTTCTGGGTAGTTGAGCTCTCATATGTCACGTACAACTGAAAACCTCGGCGAGCATAAATACCCTGTCAGTGTCCCTTTAAAGGAGCGATGAAACAATTTTTGTACTTTGCGCAAATACCGCTTAAAACGGAATCCCTAACGTTAATGACCTATGAAACACGCGTTCGTTTTTCACCCCACGCAATAGAAGTCCCAGAAAAAAATTAAAGAAAAACGAACACCGTTCACCCCCTCAACTCGCAGCCAGAACAAGCGGCCTGGAGCCGATTATATGCCGCCAGTGTTGATCATAGCCACGCGCTGGGGTTGGCAAAGCGCAGGACACGCGCTGAGTTCCAGACATTGTTATGGCTCAGCTGTTGCCGTCGTTGCAGCGATTGGACACGGGTCACTACCCGAATGCTTCTCGAGCTAGCAATTATCACGAGCCCAAGTCGAGTGCCCACGCAATGCTCGGGTCCAATCTATGAACCGCATTCAAATATCGTCACTTCGGTGTACTGCGATCCCCACGTTACGTCATGAAATTTTGCAAAGGAGAGATTGAATGAAAATGATCGCTTTTGTTCTTGAAATTACTCCGCAACAAAGGAGTTTCTTGGCCAGCAAAGTTGCGGACTCCCACTAGTGCCAGTAAGCTCGTGTATAGTGAAAAACATTCCAACTGTATATCGTTGCACTGCTCCTTTAAATACTTTTGGGAGTAACTTGTAGCTTGTACTCACTTGAGTTACTTTTAATGGGATTGTTTGGTCGAAACCGGAAGTTTTTGCGCTCGTTATGTCGAGGGAGCCGTCTTGTAGACAATCGACATTTTTATTTTGATATATGATTTCTCCTTATTAACGAAAACTACCATGAGCTGATGTACGAAACTACACCCCGAATTTCGC